GAGAATGGGGAGAGGGTGTCACTCAAGGGCAATAGGGCAAGTCAGAAGGGAGAATAGGGGAAGGGGCAGAGGGAGAGGAGAGAATGAGACAAAGAAAGAGAAAGGGAGACATAGAAAGAGAAAGAGAAAGAGAGAGAAAAAGAGAAAGAGAGACAGAGAAAGAGAAAGAGAGACAGAAAAAGAGAAAGAGAGACAGAGAAAGAGAAAGAGAGAAAAAGAAAGAGAAAGACAGAAAAAGAGAAAGAGAGACAAAGAAAGAGAAAGAGAGAAAAAGACAGAAAAACAGAAAGAGAGACAGAGAAAGAGAAAGAGAGGATAGAGAGGGTTTTGTACCATGCATTCTAGGGGGAATTTTTGCGGGATGAGTCATGCTTGTCCCTCCTGTGTGTGTGTCATTCTCTATTTTAATCTTTTTGTTTCACCCTCTCCTCTGTGGCGCTGTCGCCTCTCTCTCTCTCTCTCTCTCTCTCTCTCTCTCTCTCTCTCTCTCTCTCTCTCTCTCTCTCTCTCTCTCTCTCTCTCTTACTATGAGTTTATGTGTGTGTATACACATACGTATTTAGACAGAAACACACATAGTAAGAAAGAGAATACACACACATACACACGTACAGACGCATACAACTATACACACACATACACACACACATTCACACATACAACTATATACACGCACACACACATTCACACATACAACTATACACACACACACACACATGTATATGTGTGTGTGTGTGTGAACACACACAAATGTACATTCATAGATAATCAACGAAACTACCCACACTCGACAAACTTTCAACCCACTACCCACCCACCCATCCCCCTTATCTCTAAAAAATAAATGAAAAACCAAAGACCACCTTAAAGAACCCATCACACCACCCCTTTCCCCACACCTCCAAACACCATCCGCCCAACAGGAACCGAAAGCGAGGAGGGGGTCTTGGCTCTCTCGGTCTCAATCGCTCTCTGACCCCTTCCTCCGTAACTTTGTAATCAGCTGTAGTTAGTGGTCAGGTGAACGGCCTCGCCACAACTTAACTGATGCGGTTGTGGTCGGAGGCTGTCATGATTGACCCCTTTCTGTGGGGGGGGAAGGGGGGAGGGGAGGAGGTAAGTGAGGGGAAGGGGGAAGGGGAGAGGTAAGTGAAGGGAAGGGGGCAGGATAGGGGGAAGGGGAGAGGTAAGTGAAGGATAGGGGGAAGGGGAGAGGTAAGTGAGGGGAAGGAGGGAGGATAGGGGGAAGGGGAGAGGTAAGTGAAGGAAAGGGGGGAGGATAGGGGGAAGGGGAGAGGTAAGCGAGGGGAAGGGAGGGAAGAGTAAGGGTCAGGGTGAGGGAGGGGAAGGAAAGAGGAAGAGGGAAGGGGGAATACCAAGTAGGGGAAAATTGCCAAGGGATGGGGGGGAATCCTTAGAGGAAGGGGGTAATAATATAAGGGGGATAACGCCAAGAGAAAGGGGGAAAGAAGGGGAGATACCAGGAAAATACCAAGAAGGAAAATACCAACATGAAAAGGGGAAAAAATTACCAAGAAAAGGAGGAAAACATATCGAAAGGAAGTAAGGGAAAATACCAATTTGAAGAGGAGAAAAAAGTACCAAAATGAAGAGGGGAAAAAACTACCAATATGAAGAGGGGAAAAAAAGTACTAATATGAAAAGGGGAAAAAAGTACCAATATGAAGAGGGGAAAAAGTACCAATATGAAGAGGGGAAAAAGTAATATGAAGAGGGAAAAAAGTACCAATATGAAGAGGAGAAAAAAGTACTAATTTGAAAAGGGGAAAAAAGTACCAATATGAAGAGGGGAAAAAGTACCAGTATGAGACTGGGGAAAAAAGTACCAAGAGGAAGAAAGAGGGGAAAAAGGGGGGGGGGAGCTAGAGGGAGTAAATTGGCGTGGTTTAAAGAGCCGTGTGTTTCGACGTCAAGCAATAGCAATTAAGGACGATTTTCCATTATTGATTCTACGGGCGGCAGCCTCTAATTCCGTTTGTTTGTTTGTTTGTTTTGAAAGTTTTCATTTTGTTTTGTTTTGCACGTTTCTTATTGTTTGTTTCTTTGTTTTCCTTGTTTGTTTGTTTGTTTTCATCCTTTGTTTGTTTATATTTTTGTTTCATTGTCGGGGTTTGTGTTTGTTTGTTTGCTTGTTCGATTTTGCGATCTTTGGAGGAAGGAAGGGAGAGAGAAAGAGGAATGGAGGGAGGAGGGAGAGAGGACGGGGGAGAGGAAGAGCTGGAGGGGGGGGGAGGGAGGAGACAGGATACGTGTTAATTCCGTCAAAGGAAGTTTTCTCGGCTTCCGTCACCCCCCCCCACCTCCCCCTACCCCCCTACACCTTCACTCAGGGTCCACACCCTCCATCTACCCCCCCCACACCCCCCCTCTATCGTTCTCTTGCCTCCCCTCGCCCCATTTTTTTCCTTTTTTCTTTTTTTTTATGGAAGTACCCTTTTAAAATTTCTTTTGATGGCGTTAATGCGTTAGAAGTTCATAATAATTATTGTCATTTGTGAATCCTAATAGATTTTATCCTAACTGAATTATCGCTTCGTAATCATTACTAAGATCATTCTAAAAAAAAGGTAAATATAATCTCAGGGAATTAACAAGAATTATATATATTCTTTATTTAATATACATCCCATTTGAGATCAGAAATACCGCCTTTGATGTTAGAAATACCTAATTTTGATACCAGAAAAGCGCTACTACTCGGAAATACCACATTTGTTATCAGAAATACTATATTTGATACCAGAGAAAACACATTTGATGTCGAAAATGCAACATTTGAGAACAAAAATACCACATTTTATATCAGAGATACTATATTTCATACCAGAAATACCACATTTTATATCGGAGATACTATATTTCATACCAGAAATACCACATTTTATATCAGAGATACTATATTTCATACCAGAAATACCACATTTTATATCGGAGATACTATATTTCATACCAGAAATACCACATTTTATATCAGATACTATATTTCATACCAGAAATACCACATTTTATATCAGATACTATATTTCATACCAGAAATACCACATTTTATATCAGATATACTATATTTCATACCAGAAATACCACATTTTATATCAGATACTATATTTCATACCAGAAATACCACATTTTATATCAGAAATACTATATTTCATACCAGAAATACCACATTTGATATCGGAAATACCACTCTCGATGTCAGAAATACCACATTTGATATAAACAGAAGATGAGCAGAATACCCTCTCTTTACACAGCAATTATATTATAATATATTAAATATACATCACACGCGTTGCCTTCCCCGACGTAAACACCAGCTGCAGGAAATGAACGAGAAAATCAAAGTCAAAATAAATGATAAAAAGGGCGAAAAAGATTTGAATAAAACATTAACACGAAATAAATGAAGCGAAAAGAGGAAGGAGAGACATATTGGATAACCCAAAACATTTGAATAATGTATTTTGAATGATAATGCTTTTGATAATAGTAACGGTATTAATGATATCACAAAACCGTTGTATCGGATGAAGAAATTGAAAGAAAAAATGAAATAAAATGGAATTAAAAGATGAAGTGAATAAAGATCGTAGAGAGAAAAAAATTAAAATTCTACAAATATCTGGACTTTAACGAACGAATGGAAAAGAGTAAGATAGATGATAAAGATGGAGGAATGCAATAAAACAGGCAATTAATTAAGGATAATCAGGCGAAACTAAGTGGGAAAAAATAACCGGAGAAGATATTCAATTAAATGATAATTTTATATAAAACGATATATTAAAAAAAAACGGTTTTGATTTTAAACGAAGCTTCACCACAAAATACTTTAAACAACGAAAGGAAAAAATAGATAACGAAACAAACAAACAAAAACATTAACCAACAACAACACAAACAAGCAACCACACATTTTTTCACAAATAAAAAGACAAATAAACTTTTCCCACCAAAACCGTAACAGATGAAACAACAAACAAACGAATAAAAAAAACACACAGGTAACTCTCTCCCCCAATCAATAAAAAACAGCTGTGAATTTCGTTAATGCGGTCATGTGTACGTATCCATGTGTTTGTGTACTATGTGCGTATACATGTACGTTTACTTTACTTATGTGCGTGTATATGTACTGCGCTCGTGTACATGTGCTGTGCTTGTGTGCGTGTATGTGTACTATGCTTGTGTGTGCGCGCGCATGTGTGTGTGTACGTGTGATCATGTACATGTACGTGTCCTTATAGTGTATACGTGTGTGCGTATATGCGTGTGTACGTGTCTCCAACTTGTATACATTTACACCCTGCTTGTATGCGTGTCCGTGCGTGTGCGTGTAAGTGCATGAGCGCGTCAAAATAATCAATAGCAGATCCCTCCCTAGTTCCATACATATTTGCCGGTCGAGAGACAACGCCACGTTAATTGCTAGTTCGGTGACCGCAAGCAGTTAATTACTTGACCTCAGCTGACCGCTCGTATGACCCCGTCACGCCAGGTTGGGGATGTCTGTTGGCGATGTTTGTTTTGTGTTGATTTCAATTTTGCGGAAATGATTGGTACTGATCGTGTGTTTATTTTGTTAATGTTGTTGTTGTTGTAATTTGTTATTGATGTTGTTGTTCTTTGTAATTGATATTGTTGGTGTTGGTTTTATGATTGTTATTGTTTTAATTGCTATGATATTCTTATGATTATTATCATTATAATTGCTATTATCATTATTACTAGATAGGATATCACATTAATTCTTATTACCCAGACCACTAATCTAAGTTTTCTCTTTCTTCCCTCCCTCCTCCACCTCCACCTCAACCCCCTCCCCATCTTCCACATCTTCCTCCACCCCAATCCCTCCACCCGCCCACCCCCTCCACCCCTACCCCCCCTACCCACCCCTTCCATCCTTCCCCCTCCACCCCCTTCTACCCTACCCCCTCCACCCCCTTCCCCCCTCCTTCCCACGCCCACGCCCACAGGCAAGAGCTTCAACCTGTCCATCATCATCAGCACGGCGCCCATGCAAATGACAACTCTCACAAAAGCCATCAAAGTGACAGTGGACGGACCAAGGGAGCCGAGGAACAAGTCACGTGAGTGGATCGTTGGTAGGTGGATGAATGCGGAGTGTAGGTGGAGTGGTAGAGTGGAGGGTGAGTGGCGTAGTGGGGTGGAAGTGGACGAGTGTGGGTGCAGCGTGGTGTATGAATGTATCGTTGGTAGGTGGATGAATGCATAGTGTGGGTGGAGTGGTAGAGTGGAGAGTGAGTGGAGTAGTGTGGGATGGAAGTGGACGAGTGTGGGTGCAGCGTGGTGTATGAATGTATCGTTGGTAGGTGGATGAATGCGGAGTGTAGGTGGAGTGGTAGAGTGGAGGGTGAGTGGCGTAGTGGGGTGGAAGTGGACGAGTGTGGGTGCAGCGTGGTGTATGAATGTATCGTTGGTAGGTGGATGAATGCGGAGTGTAGGTGGAGTGGTAGAGTGGAGGGTGAGTGGCGTAGTGGGGTGGAAGTGGACGAGTGTGGGTGCAGCGTGGTGTATGAATGTATCGTTGGTAGGTGGATGAATGCGGAGTGTAGGTGGAGTGGTAGAGTGGAGGGTGAGTGGCGTAGTGGGGTGGAAGTGGACGAGTGTGGGTGCAGCGTGGTGTATGAATGTATCGTTGGTAGGTGGATGAATGCGGAGTGTAGGTGGAGTGGTAGAGTGGAGGGTGAGTGGCGTAGTGGGGTGGAAGTGGACGAGTGTGGGTGCAGCGTGGTGTATGAATGTATCGTTGGTAGGTGGATGAATGCATAGTGTAGGTGGAGTGGTAGAGTGGAGGGTGAGTGGCGTAGTGGGGTGGAAGTGGACGAGTGTGGGTGCAGCGTGGTGTATGAATGTATCGTTGGTAGGTGGATGAATGCATAGTGTAGGTGGAGTGGTAGAGTGGAGGGTGAGTGGCGTAGTGGGGTGGAAGTGGACGAGTGTGGGTGCAGCGTGGTGTATGAATGTATCGTTGGTAGGTGGATGAATGCGGAGTGTAGGTGGAGTGGTAGAGTGGAGGGTGAGTGGCGTAGTGGGGTGGAAGTGGACGAGTGTGGGTGCAGCGTGGTGTATGAATGTATCGTTGGTAGGTGGATGAATGCGGAGTGTAGGTGGAGTGGTAGAGTGGAGGGTGAGTGGCGTAGTGGGGTGGAAGTGGACGAGTGTGGGTGCAGCGTGGTGTATGAATGTATCGTTGGTAGGTGGATGAATGCGGAGTGTAGGTGGAGTGGTAGAGTGGAGGGTGAGTGGCGTAGTGGGGTGGAAGTGGACGAGTGTGGGTGCAGCGTGGTGTATGAATGTATCGTTGGTAGGTGGATGAATGCGGAGTGTAGGTGGAGTGGTAGAGTGGAGGGTGAGTGGCGTAGTGGGGTGGAAGTGGACGAGTGTGGGTGCAGCGTGGTGTATGAATGTATCGTTGGTAGGTGGATGAATGCATAGTGTAGGTGGAGTGGTAGAGTGGAGGGTGAGTGGCGTAGTGGGGTGGAAGTGGACGAGTGTGGGTGCAGCGTGGTGTATGAATGTATCGTTGGTAGGTGGATGAATGCGGAGTGTAGGTGGAGTGGTAGAGTGGAGGGTGAGTGGCGTAGTGGGGTGGAAGTGGACGAGTGTGGGTGCAGCGTGGTGTATGAATGTATCGTTGGTAGGTGGATGAATGCGGAGTGTAGGTGGAGTGGTAGAGTGGAGGGTGAGTGGCGTAGTGGGGTGGAAGTGGACGAGTGTGGGTGCAGCGTGGTGTATGAATGTATCGTTGGTAGGTGGATGAATGCATAGTGTAGGTGGAGTGGTAGAGTGGAGGGTGAGTGGCGTAGTGGGGTGGAAGTGGACGAGTGTGGGTGCAGCGTGGTGTATGAATGTATCGTTGGTAGGTGGATGAATGCATAGTGTGGGTGGAGTGGTAGAGTGGAGGGTGAGTGGCGTAGTGGGGTGGAAGTGGACGAGTGTGGGTGCAGCGTGGTGTATGAATGTATCGTTGGTAGGTGGATGAATGCGGAGTGTAGGTGGAGTGGTAGAGTGGAGGGTGAGTGGCGTAGTGGGGTGGAAGTGGACGAGTGTGGGTGCAGCGTGGTGTATGAATGTATCGTTGGTAGGTGGATGAATGCATAGTGTGGGTGGAGTGGTAGAGTGGAGGGTGAGTGGCGTAGTGGGGTGGAAGTGGACGAGTGTGGGTGCAGCGTGGTGTATGAATGTATCGTTGGTAGGTGGATGAATGCATAGTGTAGGTGGAGTGGTAGAGTGGAGGGTGAGTGGCGTAGTGGGGTGGAAGTGGACGAGTGTGGGTGCAGCGTGGTGTATGAATGTATCGTTGGTAGGTGGATGAATGCATAGTGTGGGTGGAGTGGTAGAGTGGAGGGTGAGTGGCGTAGTGGGGTGGAAGTGGACGAGTGTGGGTGCAGCGTGGTGTATGAATGTATCGTTGGTAGGTGGATGAATGCATAGTGTGGGTGGAGTGGTAGAGTGGAGGGTGAGTGGCGTAGTGGGGTGGAAGTGGACGAGTGTGGGTGCAGCGTGGTGTATGAATGTATCGTTGGTAGGTGGATGAATGCATAGTGTAGGTGGAGTGGTAGAGTGGAGGGTGAGTGGCGTAGTGGGGTGGAAGTGGACGAGTGTGGGTGCAGCGTGGTGTATGAATGTATCGTTGGTAGGTGGATGAATGCATAGTGTAGGTGGAGTGGTAGAGTGGAGGGTGAGTGGCGTAGTGGGGTGGAAGTGGACGAGTGTGGGTGCAGCGTGGTGTATGAATGTATCGTTGGTAGGTGGATGAATGCGGAGTGTAGGTGGAGTGGTAGAGTGGAGGGTGAGTGGCGTAGTGGGGTGGAAGTGGACGAGTGTGGGTGCAGCGTGGTGTATGAATGTATCGTTGGTAGGTGGATGAATGCATAGTGTAGGTGGAGTGGTAGAGTGGAGGGTGAGTGGCGTAGTGGGGTGGAAGTGGACGAGTGTGGGTGCAGCGTGGTGTATGAATGTATCGTTGGTAGGTGGATGAATGCATAGTGTGGGTGGAG